AAATAAACTTCCTATAAATATTCAGATCGCTTCAGGATTATGTTTATAAAACCGAAGAATAAATTGTCCACTCTGGAATAGCTAAAAGTAAGACGGCAATGGGAAGGATTGGGGAGGACAATTATAGTTCTACTATCACACATCATCTTCTACAGGCTACCCAGCTACCAATGCTGCTTCAGTAGTGGTAACTGTTCTATTTGAAAAAATACTGCTGGGTAATTGACCGGGGAGATCTGCAGTCAACAGAGGATTTAATAAATGTTTAAGAATAAAAAAAGATGGGACACTCAGTAGTGGCTACTGTGCAGACTGAACTCCATTCATGCATGTGTCTAGCTCTACTTCCTCTGCAACCACGTCTGACAAACCAGATATGGGTGAAATTGAGAAACTCGATTAAGTCAAAAATGAAAAAAATACATATGCAAGAGAAAACTGCACTGCCTTCAAAAGAAACAATCGAACAGGAGAAGCAAGTAGGCGAATCATAACGAGGCGTGTGCCGCCAATATGCACTATACAGTCCCCAGGCAGGGCCTTCCTACCTTACTTCTTTCAGCTATTTAACTTTGTGAGATGCAAAGAGGTTGGATCAAGTTTAAACGACTGTGCTGCCCGTTTCACATCAAAGAATCAAGAACTACTGACAATAAAGGCCATGCCTGCCTCTCCCATCTGCCTGTCTGGCTGGCAGGGAAGGAAAAGAACTTGCACGTTGAAGGAAGAAGCTAGGTGGGACAACAGGGAAATCTAGAGTAAAACCCAAGCTGGCCTGAGGCGTCCCGCAGACTGTAAAATTCAGTTTAATCAAGAGTGCCATTTTTTTGTTCAAATTATTTTAATTATTGGAATGCACAATTTTTAATATGCAAGTAAAAAGTTTTAAAACCTGAATAAAAAAATGAAAAAGATGCAGTCCTTAAAAATGCTCATTAATCTATAACTATCCAGCAAAACAGGCCAAATAATATCAAAATGGCAATGTGAAAAAAAATGAGTATCACTATTAAAAATGAGCTTTTAAAATAAAAATCAGGGGCCGGCCCCATGGGACAAGCACTTAAGTGTGCGCACTGCGCTGCGGCGGCCCGGGGTTCGCCAGTTTAGATCCTGGGTGCGCACCAATGCACTGCTTGGCAAGCCATGCTGTGGCGGCGTCCCATATAAAGTGGAGGAAGATGGGCACAGGTGTTAGCCCAGGGCCAGTCTTCCTCAGCAAAAAAAGAGGATTGGCAGATGTTAGCTCAGGGCTGATCTCCTCACAAAATAAATAAATAAAAATAAAAATAAAAATCAGAACTCATGCATATGTTAGTTACACTGAAAGGATATATCATTATCATTGTTCAAAACATTAACAAATATTTATTTAGGAACAGATATAAATCCAGCTTACTGAGCCACAAGAAAAAGTTTTATACTTTAGAGGCATTTTTTAAACCTTTAGTTAGCAATCTATTTGCAAATGGCTCCTTCAAAAACTAAATTTACATTCAAAGAATACCAGTGAAGATATTAAAACACTCTTTTCAAGTGCAAAAAAAAAAACCATTCCAACAATTTTCAGTTCACAGCAGCACTGCTGAACCAAGGATACTGCTCCCTACCTCCTGATAGTTCTGTGACTTCTTTAAGAGAACAAATTCTACTCTATGCTCATTTTAAGAAAATGGACTTGGGGCTGGCCTGGTGGTGTAGTGATTAAGTTCACATGCTCCGCTGCGGCGGCCCAGGGTTTGTCGGTTCAGATCCCGCACATGGACCTACACACTGCTCATCAACCCATGCTGTGGTGGCATCCCACATAAAAAATAGAGGAAGATTGGCACAGATGTTAGCTCAGCAACAATCTTCTTCAAGCAAAAAGAAAAAAAAAAAGAAAGAAAATGGACTCTCACAGTCAACAAAACACAACACCTGCCAAAACTTAAGCAGAGAGTAGTTTCAGAAGGAGAAAACCCATGTGAAAATGAATAAAGCAAAGTAAAGAACTCCCAGGGTTTTCCCCATAAGATTATTCACTTTTACCTCTCCATTTGCCAACACAGGTTAGAGGACATCTTCCTTCACTGGATCATTAAAAACTTCTCTAAATTTGGGGCTTGGGCTCAATATAGAGCAACATGTATTAGGAATAAAGATACCGTAAGGGGATTCTGTAAGAATATGGCAAAGGCATCAAGAAATGTTTTCCTTTGAGAGTTTTTCCCTGCTCAAACTTTAAAAAGTTCTGTATTTTATTTTAATAAGAGATAGGGTTCCCAAACAATTTTACTCTGCTCTTTGAGAAATCAAGAGATGCAGATATCCTCCTTCTATCAGAGGGAGTCATTTCTTCTCAGAAGCTAAACATAGGCAAGAGACAGATAATTTTTGGACCTGAGAAAGATACTAAGAATAGTGTCCCTAGCCAAAAAAAGCTTCACCCATTTAATATATTTCAAACGAATATGTGTAGATTACCTTATCTTTTTTTACAATTAATACATATAAGTAAAATTAACAGTGGGGCTTGAAGACAGAAGATAAAAATAAGAAAAGAATAGAAGATGAGAGCTGGGGGACAGTGGATGAAGGTTATACAGCCTCAGAAGTACAAACGTAAAAGCAGTTTCTTCATACCTTAAACCACTTAAAGCCTAAATGACTGGTCTCACGCAATATTTCACTCAACAGCTTCAGACAGGCATTGAGTAGCAGAACAGTGGAAAAAGAATAAACAGGAAAGAGGGAAAGAAAAAAGCATGCAATTAAAAGCAAATTATATATAGCCACTTGGGAAGAGTTTCACAGTTTCTTACAAAGCTAACTATAGTCTTACAATAGAATCCAGCAATCACACTCCAAGATGTTTACCTAACTGAGTGCAAAATTTATTTCCATACAAAAACCTGCAGATCAGTGTTTATAGAAGCTTTATTCATAATTGCCAAAAACTGAAAGCATTTAACATGTTCTTCAATAAGTGAAGGAATAAACAAACTGCGGCACATCCATACAATGGAATATTATTCAGAAATAAAACAAAATGAGCTCTCAAGCCACAAAAAGACATGGAAGAACCTTAAATGCAGAGGCTAAATGAAAGAAGCCATCATACTACATGATTCCAATTATATGACATTCTGGAAAAAGCAAAACTATAGAGACAGAAAAAAGATCAGGGATTGGAGAGATAGGGGAGGCATGAACAGGTGGACCACAAGGGATTTTTAGGGCAATGAAACTATTCTGTATGATACTGTAATGGTGGATACATGACATTATTCATTTGGCAAAACCTATAGAACTGTACAACATGAAGAGTGAACCAAGATGTAAACTACGGAGTAATTAATAATGTATCAATATTGGGTCATCAATTTTAACAAATGTATCACACCAATGCAAGACATTAATAACAGGGAAAACTGAGGTGGCGGAAGGAGTATATGGGAACTCTGTACTTTCTGCTCAACTTTTCTATAGACTGAAAAACTGATCTAAAAAAAGTCTATAATAAATAAATGAATGAATGAATGAATAAATCCACAAAAAAAGCACATTATAACCAGTTCACAGAATAGCTTAAAAAAAAAACACATAAAAGCAGTCTATATACCGTAACGACATGATCTATTATTATTATTAATAGACAAAATTTCTACACGATCTCTGATATGTAAGACTTGTCACTAAATAATGATCCTGAAGCAGAAAGAAATCTTTATAGAAAGAAAAAAATGGAGAATAGTTTGAAAATAAAGGGAACAATGGGTAAGAATCAAGGTAAAAGAAAATCCCTCCTCACTCCGGAACAATGGCTGTCCCCTTCCATTCTCTGAAGCTCTCCACTACCCACTACTCTATCTAACTGTACATTAGGAAATATTCAAATAGAAAGTGGACTAAGGCATTTATCTAATAACAGGGCACTGAAAGATATTCATTCTGTGAAAAGATCAATTTTCCTTCAGCTTTCCTTCAGCAAAGCTAATAAATGTCAGTTTGTCTTTCTTTCTATACTTTCTTTCTATATGACTCGAAAGAAACGATATCCTCACATCTAACACAGTTTTAATGGAACCTCCTTGTGGTACATACTACAATATGTCCGCTTTGAAAATGTATCCTTCTTCCTTGCAATACAACTACCTTAACTCACAAGAGCACTGATGGTCTGATCAAGGGGTTCCCCAAAAGATTCATGTTACCCTCTCATTGAACTTTTTACCTGTTTAGCATTTATATTTCTCCAACAAAGAAACAAAAAGGAAACAATCACTGAAAAAATTAAATATCATGAATCTCTGTGTGCGGTAGATTCAAAACCTCAAATCACACTCTCATAATGGGAAATGAGATTAGAGCCTTCACTTGTTAAAACTATTTCTTCCATTCACATCTCCCATCTTTAGTTATTTTTCCTAATAAAAAGTTAAAAGCAAGAGTATGGGGATCTAAAAAGATGTAAAAAAAATATATAAAACAAACAGCAACAGCAGAGCTCTTTAACAAGTCACCTCAAGGTTAAGATATGCAGACCCGGGACCTCAAGTGTCATGATACCTATGTCCTTCATACCTGGTAATAACTTGTTAAAACTTTTACTGCTTTTTTGAACAAGGCAGAGTATAAAATAAATAATCTATCTGCTATTTAAAATTAACATCTTTGACTAGAAATATTTGTATTTTCCCATTCCATTTTAAAGCAGGGTTGTGCCCAGTCTTGTAACAGACAGACAAGTTCCATTTCATCTCATCAGATATGAGCATATACCACATAAATATATATGAAATAAGTTCCAAATTATTAATGCAGAGACCTCTGCATTAACACGAGTCAATTCTCATGTAACTATATTTCAATTCTTATTTAAATCTAAATACTACTTGATGAAGTGCTTTTGAAACCCTATAAACATAGATTATGTATAGTTTACCTAAACTATACTGGTTAGGTTTTACCTTTTGTTTAACCAGCAGCATTGCCAGTAACTGTATAAAATAGCAGACCTGTTTTTCAGCATTGGTCCTGGCTGATTCCTCTTGTGCTAGCACCATTTCTCGCTCTGCAGTTATCTGTACACTTTCTCTTAGTGCTTCTTCCAGCTCTTCAATCCTGTCATCCTTCTTACGGAGACTGTCCTGGAAAATGATGGAAGACTAGGTGAAGTAGACTAGTAAGTCAACCCAAGGAGAGCCTATTTATCAAGAAACGGGTATTTGCTTATTAAATGTTCTTCCCTTCAGAAGTAAACCCAGGCCAAAAAAGATATCTTCAAAGAGGAAAGAATAAAACAAGGGAAGAAAGAAGTAAAGGAGGTTGAAGAAGTATATTATTAAGAGCAAAGGGTCAAGCTAGTTAAGCAAGAGAAACTTGTGATCAACTTGTTCTCCATAACAGAGAGAATAAAATTGTTTGTGTTAGGCAGCACAGGTAGCAAGGGCTTGATTATTTAATAGCGCAAAGTTGTTTTTGAACTACTCTCTGAACTGTGCTTAAAGCCAGCTTTGATGAAGCCTAAGTAGTAAGACTCTACATCAAAACATACTCTTTCCCTGCAAAGTTAAGCCTAGATGAAAAAGTTAAGTAAGTAGCATGATCTTTCAGACTATAATCCTCATACAGACATTTGTTGGCAAACTAATTTTTAAAAAAATGAAAAAGGAGATTTTTTCCTAATGAATTCAAGAAAGCCAAATTTTCTCTTAATCTCACATGAGAAAACTAAAAATGATAACTGGATGTTAAATGACTGGTCTGGTTCAAGATGAGTAATTTAGTTAGCCAACCAAACCCTACTAGGCCTGATATTCTACACAGGTTTAAAAAGTAACTTTTGGGGAGGTGAATATGGATTTCTATCAGAAAGAGAGACAAAATCCTACAGGACTTTAAGATTACGTAAGATAGGAGATTTTAAAATAAGAAGGATAAATGAAGGAGCATTTAAGTAGGATGAAGAACTGGATTCATCAGGTTATTATAAGCATTTCGTTTTTTAATTCTTATAGAACCAGAAGATTAAGAATAAAGTGCTACTTTTGATTAATATATGAAACAAAATAACAAGATTTTCTAAATCATTCTCCAACTTTCAGAATATTCATATCAGCAAAAGATATCAAAGGATTTAGTATTTTGTCTATGCAACTCTCATTTAATTATATAGTAGTCCACTTTTATAAGTACAAGGTAAAAGAAAGTCCTTTTTTGACAACTTCAGGAATCTTTTGTCTTCAGGAATCTAGAACTTGAAATCTGCCAAAGATAAATCAGATTTTTCTCCCAAATTTGAAGGAATGGCATCTATTACTTAACATCTTTCCTATTAAGAAGTTGATAAATCTTTTGCACTCTCTCATTTTTCTTAATTTAAAAAAATGAGATTTAGAAAAAAGAATATTCACATTTTGGTGATACATGTTATGTTCATTTTTTTAAAATGTTTTCGTTCTTCTCAGAGATAATGTTACAAAATATTCTAATTTAGTCCCATAAGTAAGGTTCTGTTTTATGCAGGGCAGTTTAGCTATATCAAAAAATGCTCTTTATTAAAATCTTAATGCCAGTTTGCTTGCCTTGAACAGCAGAGCACAGTGAGTGTTTCTAAAACGATGTCAAGCCAAGAGGGACAAGAAATAATGACAGTAAAAACAAAGGCCAAGGTAGGTTCTTTTGATTCAAAGAACATGAAATGTAACGAAAGGATTATGCGGAAATGGATGGATGCAATGATCAGTTAGTTCAGTCCTTTCAAATCCTCTAATGAATAACTACATTTGGAGTAACATGGATTCTGAACTACAGATTGCTGTAAGCAAAAAGAAACACTAATGTTTCCCATTATCAACTTGCTGTGAATAACTCAGTATTATGTTTTTGTCCAGTCTATTACATCCTTCACTCTTAAACTGTCTTTTGAAGATCTCCTGAGACGCTTCTGTTATCCTAACATAAATTGAGGCTGAAAAAGTTATTCCAAATAACTTCCCAGGAACCAATTTCAAACAAACAGGTTAACTTGCACTTCGGCATGGACTGAAAAACAGCCTTGTGGCCTTATCAGTAAAACTTTTTTCAGAGAGAGGATGATTAGTAATTTGTCATAATGCAGATGATAGGTGCAGGTTTTCATACTGAAAGTTTCCTCGAAACCAGTGTAAAGCCAGAGCCAACAGAGGAGCTCAGTATGCAAGACCAATTACTTAAGAAAAGTCTTCTGGACTTAACGGCAAAGCTTGGTTCAAAATATTTCTCTATAATAAGGACAAAGAACAAAAGCCAAGTGAAACCACAAATAAAGAGAAAAGGAGAGGATTGTTAAACAATATTTACGAGATACTATAAATTGCATAACATTTCAATGTAAAACTAGGTATGGAACCATCTGCTCTAAGGACACCATAGTAAACCAGGGTAGTAACGGGAGAACAAAGAGAGCAAATGCCCTCATCACGTTCATCGACAAAGTCCTTGACTACTTAATCCACCTAGTGAGTGAAATATAGCTCCAGTTCTGTTTTTGGAATCTTAAGAGATATCTGCTAAGGCAAACCAAGGAAGTTTCCTTTGTACTGAACTACACCTTGAATCTATTTCATTTAATAAAATATTGAACCAATGCCAGAAATAAACAGAACCTTTTAGTTCTACAAATACTGAAGCCCTAAACACACTGCTAGGTCATATTTATAATTATTCTTTCTCGAAGACTAAGTACATTCTTCTGTACTTAGATTATAATATGAGTACTCTATTTTTTTTAAGTTTAGAATACTAGAGAAAAGATCTTAAAAAGTTTTAGAAAGGCAAAAAATGATTACTCACAAAGAATAAAAAATTGGAAGGCAATGGAATTTTTAATGGCAACACAGGAAACTAGAAGACAACTGAGGTAATGCCTTCAACCTCTGAGGGAAAGATGATTTCTGATCCAGAATTCTATATCCAAATTATCAATCAAATGTGAGGGTAGGGGGCTGGCCCAGTGGCACAGCGGTTAAGTTCACATGTGCCACTTCAGCGGCCCGGGGTTCGCCGGTTTTGATCATGGGCGCAGACCTACTCACTGCTCATCAAGCCATGCTGCGGCAGCATCCCACATAGAAGAGTTACAACTCTGCAACTATGACACACAATTATGTACTAGGGCTTTGGGGAGAAAAGGGAAAAAGAGGAAGATTGGCAGTAGATGTTAGCTCAGGGCCAATCTTCCTCAAAAAAAAAAATGTGAGGGTAGAATGCAAAATCTGAAAAAAGTTATCTCACATTACAGACTCTCTCAGAAAGCTACCAGGAATGTGCTCTATCAAGGTGAAGAAGTAAACCCAGAAAGAGGAAGACATGGGATCCAGAAAAAAGGGGATCTATCACAAGTGAGTGGTGGTAAAGGGAACCTCAAGGGTGACAGCAAGGCTAGAGAATAAGTACAGTTTGGAGCAGAGGAAAGAAACTTGAGGAAAGATGTTTCCAAGAAAAAAAGGGGATGTATAGATTACCTGAGGTTATCCCTTTAATAAGGGATGATGTCTTTTACAATAGAAACAATATTGGGAGAAATGTTACAGTTTGAGAAAGGAATTTGGGAAGAAACTGGTGATATGCATACAAGTAACTAATAAAACAAACAAAAATCCCAAAGCAATTATTACCACCAGGAAAAACTAAAAGTACAATAAAGGAAATGTAATCACAATATGATATGTGCCTTAGACACAAAAATGTACAACTTGATATAACTATGGGAAAGCTAGAAAGAGGGAAGTGTGTGGTGTGGGGCTGCGTAAAAAAGCTAATTCCTCATCATTCATGATAAGAAGTCAATAGATAACTAATGTCCAAATAAGAAAAATAATGAAACAACAATATAAGAATATTATTTGGAAAGGTGGAAATAAACAGCAGAAGAAACAACTAAAAGTGATTGTCTCAGAGGAGGAGGAATCAAGGTTAGACAAGAATGAGGTAGAGACTATTATTATCTATTATAAGCCATGTAGTATTATTTCACTTTCGGTATGATATAAATACATATTGTTCTGAAAAAAATCAAAATCAAATTAAAAAATATGTTAAAAGAATAGCACATTCTGCAAATAAACTAATAAGAATATAAAGAGAACTTTGGGAAATAGTTATAAATGTGGTGAGTATTTCAGATACTGATTTTTTGTGTGTGTGTGAGGAATATTATCCCTGAACTAACATCCGTTGCCAATCCTCCTCTTTTTGCTGAGGAAGATCGGCCCTGGGCTAACATCCATGCCCGTCTTCCTCTACTTTATATGGGACGCCACCACAGCATGGCTTGACAAGCGGTGCGTCAGTTGGTGCCCAGGATCCGAATCTGCGAACCCTGGGCTGCCAAAACGGAGCGCGTGAACTTACCTGCTATGCCACCGGGCTGGCCACCAGACACTGACATTTTAAACATATAGGTTAACTATTTACTGTGGAAAGAGAAAAGCAGACTAGGCAAATATATCTCAAGACAGAGCTAACGGCAAAAAAAAAAGTTTAAGAGGAAAAAATGTATGAATTTTAAGTCATTGTGCTCTTCAGTTTTTTTATTGAAAAGTCCTGTGAATTCCTTCATGCCAATAATTTGCATGAGTCAAAATTATGATGAGAAATACCTTTTAGTCTTTAGGTAACTGTTGGATAGTCAAAATAAGAACATTTTTTAAAAGGACAATATATTGCAATAAGTTGTGCTATTATTCTGAAGATTCTAAACATACCTAAAGCTTAAATAGCCCAAGAGCAGATGTCTGAGACACAGCACCAAGCCAAGAGCTTTCAAAATTGTCCCCTGTCCCCCTTTCTGTGCAAATAGTTTCCCTTTTCTTTTCATACCTATTAAAATACTAGTCAGTAGATTTTGGTGATAAAGTTTGACACAGAATTCTAGTGATAAAACTGTTCATCTACACTATACGGTGTATTTTGATTTGAAGGAAGAGAAAAATCTCTAATCTGTTCAACGCCTGAACTTTGAGTAGAAGTGCCAGTTATCACCAGCTTCTCTGAATATGTGTAAGCCAATAAAATGTCAGTTGGTAAATTCAGAAACTGTGAAACACAACTTGGTATACTTCTGCTCTCAGGCCCAGGCTCAAGGAAGTAAGAAGTTGTGCTGAAA